GAGGGAGGGAGGGAGGGAGGGAGGGAGGGAGGGAGGGAAGGAGAGAGGGAGGGAGGGAGGGAGGGGAGATCTCGATTATGTTAATTCATGAGGGAGGACCATCCTAACTGTAAGTAGAACCATTCTCTGGGTAGAGGAGCTAAGAGTATAAACTTGACTGTGGATGCAATATGATCAGCTACCTCAAGCTCCTGCTGTGTGACTGCCCCACAATGATGGGCTGTAACATGGAAATATGACACAGATGAGCATCTTTCTTCCTAACGCTGCTTCTGCCAGAGGAGGAATTTTTAGTTTTTACTTTGCTTATCATTAGTAGTATCAGAGGGTACGGGGATGTGGAGGGAGGTCAGAGGAAAACTTTGTCCAGTGGTTTCGCTCCTCTATTCGACATGAGTTCTGGGACAGAACAAAGTCATCTCTTCAGGCTTGTGTGTCAGGTGCCTGTACCCTGTGAGGCTTTTTTTGTTGTTGCTACTGTTTTTAGACAGAGTTGGTATAGCTCTGGCTGGCCTGGAACCAAAAGACTAGGCTGGTCCTAAATTCACAGAGCTGTACCTGTCCCTGCCTCCCCAGTGCTGAGATTACAGGCTGTGGTCCCATGTGTGGCTCCTGTCAGTTTATTTTATCACAGAAAAGATCAGAAAAGAAACAAAGGCACTGCTTTCTTTCCTTCCTGTAGATGCCTCTATCAGTTAGGACTTCTCATTCTCTGTTGTTGTCACTGTTGGTGGTGTTGAGGCTAGAACCTGGGACCTTGTGTACGTTAGGCAAACACTCTAACACTGATCTACGACCCTAGCCATCCCTTCCTTTTTATAATTTTATTATAATTTTGTTCAGTATAGCTTACATCAGAGCAATGCACAAATAACATATTAGCAAAAATAAGTGTATCTATTTAACAAGCACACAATTTTAAAAAAGAGCAGTCTTTTTCTTTTAATGTTATACAAATGCAAATGTAGTATACATTGAGTGTCTGGCCTTTTACATCAAGAGTGTGTTTAAGACTTAGTTATACTATATTTTCATTTTATGTGATTTTTCACTAAGACACAATTCATCAATTTCTTTTACTTTCAATGGGTACCCCTTTTGATGATAAACATGATACTGATAAAACTACCTGTCGATTGTTAAATACTGAATCTATGTTTCTTGACTGTATCTAGAAGGAAAATTCTGGGTTATAGAATAGAAAGTTGTTTTGTGATTGGTTCCAAGACTCTTGTAAATGTCCAGCTCTTGAATACTCTCAAGCCCCTTACACAGAATGACTAATATTTACATATAACCTATGTACTCCATATACCTTAAATCTCTAGATTTACTACTTATGTAGTAAATGCTATGAAAATCATTGTTGTAGTATACATTTTACTTTTCTTTTAAATAAACTTTATTATTTAAAACCAAAACAATATAAACAAATCAAAATACCACACACCCACATTAACCAGACTCAAAGTCTACAGAACTCAGTGAACTTAAGAATTGATAGAAATTGGCATTAGGACAGAAGTTGTGGAGGTTAATGTTAGAGTACATACTAGAAGTGAAAATTCTGCGTTGTGTGATATTTCTACAACTAACTTTTAAAGGAACTACTGTTGCATTGATTTCCATACTGATTTCACAGAGGAGCACCATTCTGTATTCCCACTTCTGTATATGAAGACAGGGTAGAGACAGGAGGAAAATCCCTGAAGCGGATTTTCTGGCCAGCTCAGCTTAACTGATGAGTTTCAAGCTCAATGAGAGACCATGTCTCAAACCAAATAAATAAAGGCAGAGGGCTGGGGAGATGAGTAGGTGTGTAGAAGTGCTAG